TGCGTGCTGGGATTAAAGGCATGCTCCCGGCTTTGCCTTTTCTCTTTTTTTAAAAAAATATTTATTTAGTTATTTATTTATTATGTATACAATATTCTGTCTGTGTGTATGCCTGCAGGCTAGAAGAGGGCACCAGACCCACCCCCACCCCCGCCAGGGTGTTAAATCACAGCAGTGTGACAAGCCATTAGCAGGATAGCTTTGAGTGCTGTCTGCAGTCAGCACCCGGACGGCACAGCACACCTGCAGCTTTAGAGACGTCAGACACCAGGACTGCACAGCACACCTGCAGCTTTAGAGACGTCAGACACCTGGACTGCACAGCACACCTGCAGCTTTAGAGACTTCAGACACCTGGACTGCATAGCACACCTGCAGCTTTAGAGACAGCAGTCAGCACCTGGACTGCACAGCACACCTGCAGCTTTAGACTTCAGAAACCCGGACTGCACAGCACACCTGCAGCTTTAGAGACAGCAGTCAGCACCCGGACTGCACAGCACACCTGCAGCTTTAGAGACAGCAGTCAGACACCTGGACTACACAGCACACCTGCAGCTTTAGAGACCGCAGTCAGACACCTGGACTGCACAGCACACCTGCAGCTTTAGAGACGTCAGACACCCGGACTGCACAGCACACCTGCAGCTTTAGAGACGTCAGACACCTGGACTGCACAGCACACCTGCAGCTTTAGAGACTTCAGACACCTGGACTGCATAGCACACCTGCAGCTTTAGAGACAGCAGTCAGCACCTGGACTGCACAGCACACCTGCAGCTTTAGACTTCAGAAACCCGGACTGCACAGCACACCTGCAGCTTTAGAGACCGCAGTCAGCACCCGGAATGCACAGCACACCTGCAGCTTTAGAGACGTCAGACACCCGGACTGCACAACACACCTGCAGCTTTAGAGACCACAGTCAGCACCTGGACTGCACAGCACACCTGCAGCTTTAGAGACGTCAGACACCCGGACTGCACAGCACACCTGCAGCTTTAGAGACCGCAGTCAGCACCCAGACTGCACAGCACACCTGCAGCTTTAGAGACCGCAGTCAGCACCCGGACTGCACCGCATACTGCACCTGGACTGCACTCCCTTCCTCCTTGGAAAGAGCACCTTTCTGACTCGGGACGCCTGCTGTGGGCAGCATTGGCTTTGCTTCAGGTTGTAGATTATGCAAGTGCTTCAGCCTGGCCAATCAGAGGGATGCATCCACGGCCTTCAGCGATGGACTGGGAGATTAGCGTGGGTTATAGTCAGGATGCTGGTGACAACACCAGGAAAGAGAAGCACTCTTGCTTTCTGTAGAACTCCAGCCTGAGATGCTGGAGGAGATTGTATTCTTATGTTGATTTAAAGAAAGAAGGCAAAACTAAGGAGACAAGACTGGGTCCCAGTTAAATATTATCCATATTGAGTAAGCCCCTAGGTCCAGCTATCCCTAAAGTCCAGTCTATTAGATTTTTCTCTCCCTGAGCTATTGCTTTCTCTTTTCTACCTAACCCACTATGTTCTGGGTTTTCTGCCACTTGCAATCAAACATGATAACAGACAGAGAAATATTTAAAACTCATACATGTCCTTTGCAAGAAAACAGCAACCACCTCTATCTAAGAGATGGAAAGAAAAAGAAATGTTTTTGCAAGTGATGTGCACTAGCCTTAAAGGGCAGGCTTGGGAAAGGACATGTGCCACAGTGGCTCCTGGGGATTGAGATAACAAGAATGAATAGACAATGGCATTACGGCATTTGCTCTGGAATAGGCCAATACTAACGAACTGCCTCCCAGAGATGCTTTGTTCAAGATTCACGTTAGCATGGACGCAGGGAGGAATGAAGCTGGCAGAGAGGGGTGGGGCCACAGTGAGGGAGGAACAGAGACCCAAAAATGATTGATTTGCACTTGAGAAACTAAAAACAAAGTCATGCTTAGAAAATATGGGGAAAGGAAGGAACTGGGCTCTAGTGACCTCATTCTCTCCCAGACACCAAGAGACAGTGAAATATCTAGGGCCCAAGGGAATTCCAGCTGTCACCAGGTTGCACTCGCCACGGTGGAGAAAACCCAGGGATTCGGAGAGGCATTATCCATCACATGGGCACTGTTCAGGACCCAGAGGGAGAGGAAGGATAGCTTTTAAGGGGAGCAGATTGAAGTGGCTCGTGCTCTCACCTCCCCGGAACCTTATGGGGCTCCACAGCCCATTGAAGGGCTTTCTATACAGCCGGTCACGCTGTCCTTCCACGCAGCTTTTTCTGTCCCCCTCCCCCCATTCTCCACAGAATAGGTATTTGCCAAAGTGCAAGGCTAAGAACAGCTGACAAAAGCCCAGAGTTTTTGACTGTGTGTGTGTAGTGTGAGTGCTTATGTGGATACTTGTTTGTGTATGTGTACAGGCATGTATACACATGTAAGCTTTTGCATGTGGAGGCCCAAAGTGCTGGATGCTTTCTCCAGATAATCTCGATCATATTTTTAAAAAGATTTTATATCATTATTGTTGCTGTTGTTATCATTGACAGGGTCTCATGATCCAGCTCTAGCTGGCTTAGAACTTGCTGTGTAGACCAGGCTAGCAATGAACTCACAGAGATGGCCTGCCCTGTTTCCTGAGTGCTAGGATTGCAGATGTGCACTACCAAACTCGGCAATTTTTATCATAGTTAGGTATGGGGATGTGTAAGTATGTGCCCAGAAGTGCAGGTTCCTGCAGAGCAAGGATCTAGGATTACAGGCAGTTGGGAGCCCCCTGACATGGACACGGGCACTCTAACGCAGGTCCTTTAGATGAGAATGAGCAAGCTCTTAATCGCTGAGCTATCTCTCTGTCCCCATCATCATCATCAACATCATCACTGAAATAGTGTCTCTCACTGGCCTAGCGCTAGCCAAGTAGGCTAGGCTAACTGGCTAGTGACCTTCAGGGAGCCATTGTCTCTGCCTCCCCAGTACTGAGACTAGACACCTGCCGCCCATCTGGGTTTTTGCGGTTTACTGGCTGGTGCATCTTCCCAGTCCTAAGTTCCAGATTTAAATCAAAATACTCTCTGGTTTGTCTGCTGCTGCTTCACAGAAGACCCCAACCCAGCAGAGGACTCCACTCCTTCAAGGTACACAGGACAGGCAAGTGAGGAATCTGAACTGAAACCAAGGTTAGAATCCAAATGTTGTTGCTGCTGACCTCTGTGATAAGGGACCTTCGGGCCTCTATTCACTGCCGAGAAGTCATAATACCCAGCTGAAACTCTGTTGCCTGTGCACCAGTATGGCTTAAGTGGTTCTGGAAAGCATCAAGAGACTTCCAAACCAAATGGTAAAAAGACAACCATAGCCTCAGACTGCCCATCCCTTTTACACTACCCTGTCCCCACCTTATCCAAGAAGTTAGTTCTTGGCTGAACAGAGATGAGACTTTCATCTAACCCTACACCCAGCATCCACCGCTGCTGGCTGTCTTAGGGTTTTTATTGCTGTGATAAGACTAGTTATGGTTATTGATTATGGTTAACGGTAAACAAATACTCTTGCCTACTAGTTCAGGGCCTAGAGCATGGAAGGTGCCTGGGAAGTCACCCATCATGAGTCACCAACCAAAGGAGCCAGGGATATCTCTTATCTGGCGCACTGTAGAGCCTCCAGCCCTTTGCTACAGCCCCAGAGAGGAGGCATACCCAGTTGCTAGGGGAACAGAACAGAGCAACTGGATTAAGAGAAAATGGGACGGTTCATATGGAAGACAAGAGGTCCCACTGGTTTCCCCCCAGGGTGCTTGGTTTGGGAATTTATAAGACCAGTCCCCAAAGCAGGGCCTTTGCTGGTGGCAGGCCTGTCCCCATCTCTTAGCATACTACCCATCTCTGTATTTGCTGCTTGGTCAGAAACCCTGCCTCTTTGCTGTGGCTCTCCAGCATCTGCAATCCTATTTAACCAATCCCCACGCGTCCCGCCCCCAGTTTTGATAGATCCCTTGAAGTCCCTCCTCCGCACGTGGCCCAGCCCAGGGATCTCTGCTCCCCTTTCGCCCCGAGTTTGGCATTAAAGAGCTCCTTACCACCACCTTGGGTTGTGAGCGCTCAGACACCAGTACATCCCTGGCGGCGGGGCAAGTTGTGGGGAGACCCTCAAGCACGGGAAAGAGGCGTTTTGCTGCCCTGAAACCTTCCAGACCCGCTCAGTGTAAACCGCCTCCGGTTTGTGTCAACATCCGAGGCCGGAGACTGGCGGCGGCTGGGAACCGGCTCCATCTAAGCAACGGGAATGCGGGAGGGTGGGGAATGGAGCAGTTCTTGGGGGTACGTAGAAGGATCCTTCTGCAGAAGAACTAAAGAGTCCGTTTGGGGGTTCTCGAGAAGTATGGATAGAGCTTAAGAATGGATCTGAATTAAGGTTGTAGGGGTGACTGGCGGGAGCCCACGCCCTCATGTGTCTAGGTGGAGGGTACTGCCTCATCCACCCTGCTCTTGCTGTAGCCACCCTCCCCTCTGCTTCATGGTGGGAGCGGGGACACTGGTGCAAAGACCCGAGGTCCTGACCACCCTATCTCCTCTCCCCTCCACCCTGCCACTCTGTAGCTCCTCATTGATTCCCTCCAGGTTGGGGCAGGACACGGGATGGGGTCGCACCTTGTGAATCACCCCCTCTCCTATCCCCACCCCCGCTGGGGCCCAGGAAGAGAAGGCTTAGAGATTCAACTGTGGTTCTTCTGTTACCATAGCAACGGTGCGGTTGTTTTTGCGAATCCACTTTAATCATCTGTACTTTTCGCTCCAAACTGTGACCCAGGCTCTGAGCCTCAGGGTTGAGGGACAGATGGGGGTACAGTCCTCTACAATCCTGGCTACTCGGGGAAGGTCAGCGCGGGCGGGAGGGCGGGGCGCTCTCCTGTGGCCCAGACTCACAGGCCACCCCATCCCCACCTGAAACTCCGGCTGTCACTCGGTGCCAGCTGAGCCTATCGATGTCCAAGGTTCTTGAGAGGGGGCGGGCCTTATGTAAATCGTGTCGTCTTCGAGAAGCACATAGTGATACAAGAGCTGGGGAGGCGGCTCCGATGCGGACCTTACAGAGCACGGCGTCCGCCTGCTAGCCAGCCTTGTTCCAGCGGCTGCCCAGGCTCGGAGCCATCCGACGAGTCAGCGAGCAGCCTCAGGTAATGCGGGTGGGGCCTGGACCTCGGAGTAACCCCACGGGGCGGAGGCCCTGAGCCCCTCCTCCTCCGCGTTCCCCTCCCATCCTCAGATGCTCAGATCCATCTTCCTGACCCTGGGTCTATCCATAGGTGGACAGCCATCTGGAGGGCCCGCCTTGGGCAAGGGACCTCCACTTCAAGCCGGGTCCCCAGTTCGAGGAAGGCGGTACAGCTGCCTTCTTACCCCCAGCTCAGGTAAGAACAATCATTCCTCAGGCCCCAGTGCAAACACACACACACACACACACACACACACACACACACACGCACGCACACGGGGGGGGGTGTGGTGTCGCTGGTGCTGGAGGAGGCTTCAGTCACTCTATCTCCTGTTGCCTCTAGAGATGGTGGTTTGCCAGCCCCAGGGAAACCTCTACCTGGAGGTAGCCCACACCCACACCAACAGTTCACTGTCGTTTGCACCTCAGGGTCCTGTTCCCAAAGATACCTCCATAGCAAACTCATTCTCTGAGCACATTACCTCTGCCCCTGATGCTGACAGCTCACAGGGTACCCAAGGGAAGGATGAAGATCCCCCTCCCCAGTGTCCTACCCCAGGCACACTCAGCAGCTCCCCACTAGTCGCCCCCAGGCTAGACAGAGATCTCTGCCTCTTTTGTCCTGTATGGAGCATGAAGCAGGGGTGCTCCTTCCAGGAGACAACTCCCATAGCTCCAGTCTGCACACCTCGCACCTCTCCTCTCTTTGTAATCCGTTCTTCTCTGCCCTTCCTTGCGCCTAGTTGCTCGCTTTCCACTTCCTGTTGTTTGTGGAGATGGAGCTCTGCTTCCTCCCTGCTTTCTCCTTTGAGCCTGATTGTGGAAGCAGTGCAGTCTGCTGTGACCCTTCGCCTTGCTGCTGCTTGACTTCAGCCAAGTCTTTTCCCTCTCAGACTTCATGCGATGGGGGAAAGAGCGGGGCAGAGGACGATTAGATGAGGTGGTCTTGAACAGCCTTCCAACTCTGATAAACTCTGGTTCCACAGCTGATTAGAGGAAAACAAAGCATAAACCATTAGGATATTGCTCAGAGGAGACCCGAGAGGCCCCAGTCCTCCCTGTACGGACATCCTTTTTCCTCAGGCCTTCTATACATCCTGCAGGGTCATTCTCTTAGGAGTCTTTCCAGACCACCCAGGCATGAAAACTCCAAATTGGAGGTGGTCAACCCAGCTCATCTTGCAGGTGTCACTTTGGCCTCTTATTATGAAGGGGAAGAACACGACCTGGCTGTTACTGCTATTGCTGTTGCTTGGAGAAGAGCAAAGGGAGGAGAGGGAAAGAGAAAATCTCCTGACCAGGGAGCTGTTGTCACCATGGCAACTGCCTCAGCACCAGCTCCTCTGAAGCTAGGCGAGGATGTGGGATTATTGCCTCCTTCAGTCCCTCCCTACCTTCACTGCCACCTCTCCACTTAAACCTTCCAACCCTGAGCCTTCTAGAAGGAACCTCTGAGCACAGAGGGTCAGGTTTAGAGCGAGAGGTGCCTCCTCAACTGGAGGACAGTCCTCCAGAAGCCACCACTCCACAGAATATACCCCCAACTAGGCTCTGGTCTTTGTTTTGCAGCTGATGGGCTCCAGCTAGTTGACCTTGGGTGAACCTTTCCTTTTCCTGACTCTGGGTTCCATTGTCTCTGATGATAGGAGATCCCAGATAAACAATGTGACATAGTACCAAGGAAGGGAGGACATGTTGCTCTTCTCTCATAATCTAAGTGCCATTCACTGAACATGACTGCATCCTAGGCTTTGCTTTCAAGCTTCTCCAGGGTGCTCTAGTGCAGACACAGGGGGAAAGCAGGAAGACAGACAGGAACAATAGAAAAAAAGGCACCTTTCCCCCTACCCAAGATGCTCAGAAAGAGTCGAAGTTCTGTTGGAAGGGGAAAAACTTATTGTTGGGTAGAAAGACCTGGGGACTTCCCTTGTTTCAGGCAATTCAAAGGCTTCCCTTAGAATCCTGGATTATTAGATAAGTCAGGAGGTGGTATATGTGTGAGGATTCCACCCCATAGCTTCTGCCTGTGCCCAGAGGGCTGAGCCTACGCTGTTGCCTGACCACTGCCCGGCTTGGAAAGGGTTGATTGCAAGGAAGAAGGCGGCAGTGAAGAAGTGAAGGCAGCTTGCAGCTTGTCTGCCCAGAGAAGAAAGGGTTAAGGGAGAGACACTATTTAAGCACATTGATAAGGTGGGTTCTGGCTTCAAGATACCTGAGTCAGGGAGAGTGTATGGTTATGGGGAGAGCAGTGGAGGGTGACGATCAACAGGTGAGCAGTTTGAGACAAGATTCTAGATGATTCTGGAGTTTCAGAGGGTCTGGTGGTGTGTGTGTGTGTGCCTACCCTAACCTTGAGATGAGATTCTAGAAGATTCTGGCACATACTGTAACTAGGAGAGATCATGTCTTGGAACAGAGGTGCCAGAAGGAAGGCCCTTCTGAGGGGCAGGTAAGCCCTGTTGACCATGGGCTTGACTTGGCAAAGAGCTTGGCTGGTCTTCAGCACTGTGAGCTCACGGACATAGCAAATGTTCCAGGAACATTTCAAAAGGAAAAAACACAAGACCTAATGGCAAGCAGGACCTGGAGAAAGGGGAATATCAGAAAAGTCCATAGGATCTGTTTTTTTTCTCCTTATACTGCACACCCAGAGGTGGCAGAGAGAGAAGGGAGGGAGGGAAGGAGGGAGGGAGGAAGAGAGAGAGAGAGAGAGAGAGAGAGAGAGAGAGAGAAGGAGGTGGGGCAAGGAAGAAATTCGAGTTGAGGCTGAACCTGGCTGCGGCTGCACTGGCTCAAGATTGCTTGTGGGCATCCACTAGGATGGACAGGTAGTTTCTCCTATCAGAGACTGTGGGCTGCAGCTCAGGCAAAATGGTCTCTCGCAGACCACAGATTAGAGCTATTTTTCCAAGAAGGCAGGAAGGGGTAGAGAAGGTTTGTGCTGAGAAGGAACAGTCATGATGTAGAGAGGACAATCAGACAGGTGGTAAGGACTCAGCCTGGATGCTCAGCGGACTCCTCCCCTGACTGCCACTCCCGTCTAAGCCACTGCTCTCTCTCGATTTTGTCTTTCACTAAACCAAGGGGATGATATCAAATGGTGCTACCTACTTTAGCTTTCTGACAATCTAAAAGAGATGAGGGGGTGCTTTCTGGTCCTCACTGGGTCTAGGGCCATGGAGGGGCAGGGCACAGGTAAGGACCCCGAAGGCAGAAGGGTGGGAAGGTAGCACAGGAGAGAGAAGAAAGGGAGCAGAAGGTGAGGACCACACAGACACCATGACGCATAGAGACGTGCACGCTCTGACAGATTTGCAGCCTCATGCATTGACACCCTCCTACACATAGACCCAGCCCCTCATGCAGACACTCAGGCACATCCTACAAGAGCCCCGGGAGAGGTTCTGCCTCCCCCACCAGACACCTTTGCTTCCGGGGTTTCCAACTTCCTTATGCCTTGAGCTTACACAATTGTTGGGGGAGGATGCAGCTGAGATGGTCCCCCACTTCTGCCTACGGGAGGTCTAGAGGCATCCTTGAATCTGGCCCTGGTGCAGTTCTAAGTTCCTGAAGACAGCATGAGTCCCCCTCCTTGGCTTCTCCTGTGGAATTTATCTTCTGGTGATGGTAGGCTAGTAGCTAGAGAAGGATCTGCTCCTTGATCTCATGACGCAGAGGAGGATCCTGAGATCCGGAGATAGACTGTAAGGAGCTTGGGAACCATTTGCCTTGTTTTCTATGTTCATCTCACTCCTTAATCCAGTCAGCAAGGACTACAAATGCCCCCTTTCAGCACCTTTCAGTCTGTCCACATCTCTCCATTTGAACTGTATGCCAAGCCCTTTCTTGTCCAGCACATCACTCTCCACCTCAAGCCGTCTTGTACTCAAAATCTATTTTCATTATTTTCAATAATGTGTAGGCATGTGTTTGTGGGTATGTGCACAAGAGTTCAGGTGCCCTCGGAAACCAGAGGTGGCAGTTGCCCTGGATCTGGTATTACAGCCGGTTGTGAGCCACTTGACATACCCAGGGTGCTGGGAACCAAACTTAGATCGTCTGGAAGAGCAGCAAGTGCCCTTAGCGACTAAGGCATCTTTTCAGCTTGACCCTCAAATCATCTTGCACATTGCAGCCAAAAGAAATTTCCCCCCAAAAATGCCTGGATTTCCAGGACATAGATCAGGACCTGGCATATTGTGAGCATCCTATGCTGTGGGATGAATGTTGGCTTCCAAACTCTTGCTTTAAAATGTTCAGGTTGGAGGCTGGAGAGATGGCTCAGAGATTAAGAGCACTGATTGCTCTTCCAGAGGTCCTGAGTTCAATTCCCAGCAACCACATGGTGGCTCACAGCCATCTGTAATGAGATCTGGTGCCCTCTTCTGGCCAGAGAGCATACAGACAGACAGAATACTGTCTTCATAATAAATAAATAAATCTAAGGGGAAAAAAAGTCCAGGTTGGCATGGATTGAAGGCTCTTTGTCGTCTATCTCTGGAAACATTGTATGAGCTGCTGAAGGCTGGCTCACCTTAGTTTTATCCTCATACTGAGTCCAGGCCTCCAACAAATGCTCAGGGAGTGAATGGGTTAATGAAAAGCAAACTGTAATCAGGGCCATCCCTGCTCCAGGCGAGGATTTCTCCTTATACTCAGGAAGGAAGAAGAGATGCTTCCTGTGTGGGGTCCCCAGGAAGGCCTGAAGGAAGAACTTGTGAAATGGTTCCTGAGGGACACTGGAAGACTAGGAGTCTACCCAGGAGGGAGGGTGCGGAATGCAGACAGCCCTTGCTAGCAGGGAAATTAGTTGAGGCTTTAACGCTAGGGACCTAGGGAATGATGGGCAATGGGAGAGGTGGGGATGAAGATTGTACCTGAGTCACTGAGGGGGTCATTTGTCCTCAGGAAAGGCTGGAAATGTCCTTCCAGGAGGGGTCTGCTCTGGGGTGCAGGGTGTTGTGAGGGGAGAGGGGGTCCTGCTCTGGGAAGAGGGAGACCCAGTGAAAATAGGCTTCCTATGAGAAGGGGGTGAGTGAAGGCTGAGTATGTTGAAGAAGGTGGGGCTTGCTGAAGTGGGTGGCCAGGGAAAGGGGCGCGGGGGGGGGGGGGGGGGGGCTGTTGTGGAAAGAGGAATATTGACTTTAGGAAGAGGGCCCCCTTGTGGACGGGTGAAGAAAGGTCCAAGTTGGGCGAGGGTGGAGAATCACTTTGCAGAGGTGAGATTCTAGCCTGGGCCGTGTTGAGGGAGCTCTCTGTCCTGCAGGCACACCATGGGGAAGAACAACAGCAAGCTGGCCCCCGAGGTGCTGGAAGACCTGGTGCAGAACACAGAGTTCAGCGAGCAGGAGCTAAAGCAGTGGTATAAGGGGTTTCTGAAGGACTGTCCCAGCGGCATCCTCAACCTGGAGGAGTTTCAGCAACTCTACATCAAGGTGCAGGGTGGGGCGTGGCATGGCGGGGTGGGCGAGTACTGGGGACCTGAAAGCTGTCAGGAACTCAGAAGGATGGGGTAGACAGGGAGGGTGGGACCGTCGCTGCGCCCCAATAACCCGTACCCCTCCCTCAGTTCTTCCCTTACGGAGACGCCTCCAAGTTTGCACAGCATGCTTTCCGCACATTCGACAAGAACGGCGACGGCACCATAGACTTCCGGGAGTTCATCTGCGCCCTTTCTGTCACCTCCCGCGGAAGCTTCGAGCAGAAGCTCAACTGGGCCTTTGAGATGTACGACTTGGACGGCGACGGGCGCATCACGCGCCTGGAGATGCTGGAGATCATCGAGGTGCGGGGGCCAGGGTGGGCGTCTAGTGTCCTTGATCCTCAGGAGTCTCCTAGCTGCTCCCCAGCGTTCTCCCACCACAGTTCTGCAGGCCCCTTGTTCTGTGCTTAACCCCTGGGGTAGGTGATATCAGGTACCCGTATATTCCCAGATGAACAAAAGGCAGCATGTGGCAGCCATCCGTGAATCAAATCTAGGGAAGCCAAGTGGTTAGCCATTTGGTTTTTCAAGAAGTCAGTATTGAGGTCTGAAGAGACTGCTCAGCATGTAAAGGTACTTGCTACCAGGTCTAACTACCTAAGTTTGAGCCTGGGACCCCACGTGGTAGGAGAGAACCAATTCCCACACATTTGGCTTCTGACCTTAGACAGGATGCACTCTTGCTGACTCTCATCTCCCTCCCTCCCTCCCCACCCCTCTCTTTTTTTTTAAGTTTTGTCTCTTTTTAAAAAAATATTGTGTCTGCCATGTGTTTTCATAGGAGACTCCTTCTAGTAAATCAGTAAGTAAATTTGGGTCTTGCCAGGCAAAAATGGTATGAAAAAAAAAAATAAGCAAAGGAAGGGAGAGTGATGGAGGAAGATGAGAGGGTGCTGATGCTGACGTCTGCAGAGTGAACCACCCGTGTCGGTGAAGCTGTGTTTGCACGGCTCGAAGTGTATTAGGAGGCCTGAGCAGTAGTGAAGGTGTGAGTGGGGGGAGAGGGGCACGGAGAATGACAGGAAGATGGACCCACAGGGAGCCAGGAGTCCCATCAGTGGCTCTGGCTAGAGTAGAAGCTTTAAGCATATCCTGAGTGTGGGGAGCAGATGACAGAGGAGACTGGGAGCTGCAGAGGCAGGGAGACCAGTTAGGAGAAACTCAGTCAGGAGCTAGGGGAGGCTGCCTTCGTGCATGAGCTGTGGAAATGGTGGAAAGAAGCCGCCATAGGGCCCATGACAGAATTAGAATGGGCGTGTTTTGCTGAAGGAGTGAATGTGTGTGTGTAGAGGAGGGGAGAGAAGATGACAGGAGAACTAAGCATGGTGTCCCACCTCTGTCATCCCAGCACTCAGGAGGCTGAGGCCGAAGGGTGGTGAGTTCAAGACTAGACTGAGCACGTAATGAGTTCGAAACCAACATGGGCTACAGGGGAAGCATTGTCTCAACTTGAGGGTTTTTTTTGTTTTTGTTTTTGTTTTAAATCTGGCAGAATGAAGTCGATACTTGTTGAGACAGAGAATTCTAGAGGCCCAACAGGTGAGAAGTGGGTTAAAGAGTTGTTAAGACAGTGATTCGTTTAAGGTGCTCATCAGGGAGACAGTCTTTTTGTCTTTTTAATTGATTGGGTGTGTTGGAGCACGCCTTTAATCCCAGAACTCAGTAGGCAGAGGGAAATGAGCCTCTGTGAATTCAAAGCCAGCATAGTCTACATCATGAATTCAAAGCCAGCCTTGTCTACATAGCAAGCTCCAGGTCATTCAGAATTCCATAATGATTAAAGAAACGTGTGTGTGCACACGATGGGGAGGGCTGTGTTACCACAGTGTCTGTGTGAGGTCAGAGAACAACTTTGTGGGGTTAGTTCTTTCCTTCCACATTTATGTGGGTTCTGGAGACCCAACTCAGGTCATCGAGCTTGTGCTACCAGCTCCTTACCAGCCGAGCCACCTAGCCAGCCCTAAAGAGCCAGTCTTAACAAGCATGTGTCTCTTTCTAGTGCCTTCTCCTCCCCCAGTGTCCCCTCAGTCCACCCTCAGATCCCTTCATCCTCAGTCCTCCCTGCCGGTCAGGTGTTCACACCTCCGTCTCTGCTCCATCAGGCTATCTATAAGATGGTCGGCACCGTGATCATGATGCGCATGAACCAGGATGGGCTCACACCCCAGCAGCGCGTGGACAAGATCTTCAAGAAGATGGACCAGGATAAGGACGACCAGATTACACTGGAGGAGTTCAAGGAGGCAGCCAAGAGCGACCCATCCATTGTGTTGCTGTTGCAGTGTGACATGCAGAAGTAGAGACTGGTGAGGGGCGGGGTCCCTGGCCAGGACAGGCATGGCACCACCCAACCTGATATCCTCTCTGCTGGCCCATTCCCAGGGGGAGGGGCCTTCCAGCCTCACTCTCTCGGTCACCCACTCCTCTGCCCAAGCCTTTCTCTCCTCAGTCAAGTTCCATGAGGGACCACTTCATCCTGCAAAAGAGACGGTTCCTCTCAAGTAGCCTGTCCTCAGATAGTCTGTCACTAGCTCCACCTCTAGCCTTGGCCTAGGACCAACATCCTTTGGGCTTAGGGGAGTTGGCTTTTGACCCAAGAGGCGAGGTTAAGGAGGGGGCTGAGGGCAATCCTGTTGTTCCCAGGATTCGGCTCTAAATAAGCAGTGTGGTCCCCACAGGCCCCCAGTCAAAGGACCAAACTAGGTCTATCCTTTGCAGATTCCTTGAGATGTGGTCTCTGCCCTGCCCCCCTTGACTCTACCTGGCCCCTCTGGCCCCACCCTTGGGAATGTTCATTGAGTCCTTTTCTTCAGCTAATGCTTGTTGAGTCCTTGTTCAATGCCAGGCACCTGAAGGTGCTAAGAATACGGTTGTTTACAAAAACACATTCCATGCCCTCTGAAAGCTCACAGGGTAATGAGACTACTTCCAAGGGTTGAGGCCTTAGTGGGACACAGCGGAGATGAGGGTGTAAGGCAGCTGGCAAGTTGTTGGAACAAGTGTGCCCTCCAGCTGTGCCACCCAGGGCTGCAGAAAGACCAGATGAAAAGCCTGTGGGAGTTTAGCTGCCACGTGGGTAGAAATTTTAAGAAAAATAAAAATTTATGTAATATTTATTTTTTTAGGGCCCTTTCAAAGAGCTAAAATCATTTTACTAGACTACTAAGATATACTCTATATTACTTGGTTTCTTATAAAAAAACGACTTAAATGGATATAAAAATGCTAATTTTTAAGGGGGGAAGTGTTTAGGCAAAAGGGGTGGGGGCACCAGCAGACTTTGAGAACCTGCGCTCGCCCATCAGCAGACCCTGCTGCTTCTGCTACTTCCTTTTCTTGCCCCTTTTCAATTCCACAAGTGACTTTCTGTCGCACAGTTTGGGTGCTGGCGTCAGAGGTGGAGATGAGGTTTGCCTTGAGCCAGAGCAGTTCATGTCCCACATCTCAGCGGCTTGTTTCTGAGTTTGGCTGGTTTCAGGGACTGGCTTGTTCCTTCACAGCCTCAGCTAGAAGGAGCCAGAAGAAAAGGATCATCCGGCCACTGTTCGGGCTTCTGGGTGGCATGTATGGACCAAATGCCTAAAAAACATGCTGGGCGTACTTCATGAGAAAGGCTTTTTCTGACCCCTCCACCCTAGATCTGCCAGGAGAACAAATCCGTCACCTTCCAGGCTCAACAGCTGGGCTTTCTGAACTTTGGGGTCTAGGAGCTAACTATTGTGTTGCATGCTTTCCAGAGAAACCTATCTTGCTTCTTCCAGTCCTTCACGTTCATCTCGCCTGTGCTTGTGATCAGGAGTTAGCTTTGACGTGCAGTGACAGTTGACTTCCTCCTGAACTGCTGGGAAAACTGCCTCATGCTCTCAGTCAGGGTGGGAGTAGAGAAAGCCTGTGAAGCCGGGGCGTGCTGTGGTGGAGATTGCCCTGCAGGAAGGATGCTGTTTGCCTCTCTCTCTCTCCTGAGTGCTCACCTCCCTGCTGCTAGAAACTTTTGGAGATGCTGACCCATGGTCCAAAACTCTGTCAGACCTTCCTTGTGGCATTTGGAGGTAGCAAGCCACCTTCTTCCTGTCCTGCCTATCCAGGCTACGTGGTGAGGCTGAGGAATTCATAGCCTCAAATGATGCTAGCAGGTGTTTATCTGGTGATGCTTCTTGGGGCTGTTCTATAGCGCTCATGAGCTGCCTGTTAAGTACATCTTGTGCTGTTGTCAGCACCGCTCGACAGCCTGGCTCAGCTGGGACCTGAATTTCCTAGTGACAAGCTTTTCCTTCCCCCCGCCAAGTGTCTCACGGTGACCCGAATTCCTCGGCTTTCAGAGGCTCGTATCTACTTGCATCTCATTTTGTCCAGAGAGATGGAGGGTTTCGGGACCTTTAGCCAGGCTTGGAAGCTAAGGTTAAGGGTTGAAGGTGGGGAGGTCTCTTGTGTGAGAACAAGTAGTCAGGAGATGACACAATGCTGAGACTTGAACAAAAGGTTCTCTAAGAGACTTTTCTCTGCCCCGTTCATTTCTGTATCTGTTTGTTCAGATGTTGACTGCAGGACAAATTGACTTTTGTCTTTTGGAAACTTCCTGCCAAGAAGTTTCTGAGGCTATAGTCTTCCAAAAAAAGAGGAGGAACTTGAAGTCTCTCCATTTTCAAGCATCTTCTTTTCTGCTTCTGGGCGGCCTTGCATAAACCAATGCCATTCTTGGAGGCTGCTAACCAAATTCCAGAAGCATCTTACATTGTCTTCCCCACTCTCTTCCTCCCTGAGAGAATCGCTTTTGTTTTTCCAAGCTAGTAGGCAAGTTCTTCCCATGTGACAGATCACTCCAGACTTCAGGCTGCCTATTCATGGGCAGTACTTGTTACTGCCAAGGGTTTCAGACAGCTCAGCAGGCCCAAAACTGTCCCTGCCTTCCTGCTGACGGGAGGAGCCACAGGCAGGTTAGACCTTGCTCCCACACTCTCTTGGGTGCCTAGAGCACTGCGTGCCCAGGACACCATATGGTAGAGCACCCGTCCCTGTCTTGAGAAGAGCGATAGGTCCCCCATCTCTGCTCCAGCTTAAGAAGAAGCACTTAGCACGAAGCACAAGGTTAGCAGAGATCTAGGCGTGACTTGCACAGACATGAAAACACACAGGCAGTCAAAACGTTGATAGACCCAAGTTCTCCTTTGAGGTTCTGTATCCTCTTCCGGGATTCTGTGAATCGCGTTGGTTCCAGATTCAGCCTCCTCATACCTGCTATCCTCATTCATCCTCTCTGGCTAAGCGATGAGTCCCTTATTTCTCATCTCGAAGACTCATCCGCGTAGGCTGCTTAGCTCAGGTGCCACTCCAACCCGGGCAGCTGCGTAATTACCGACTTCCTTTTAAGAAGAAGAAAACAAAAACAAGCCCGTTAGCAAAGACACTAATTCTTCTCTGCCCTGGCAATGGCGGAAGCTCAGCAGCAGAAATTCATTTCACATGGGAGGTCGTGGGAGCAAGGAAAGAGAGGAAAGAGAGCCAGTCCTCCCAGGCAGGGCAGGAGTAAGCTAACACTGTTGATATTTTTACACAAAAGCTTAGGCAAGCAAAAGTCATCTCCTGAGGATCCACCCAGGATCTTTGAGGAAAGATCAGTGAGGATTTGTGTTGACTTTGGAAATCACCAAAGGGTTACGAATACATTTCTTACATAGCTCCTTCATTGTTCTTAGCGAAAGAAATAATTCATGTGCTCAATTTGAAAGTCTTAGAAAGACATGGACTTTTTTTTTTCTAGACTTTTCATGGTTTTCTCTTCTTAGCTTTGTCAGAGTGTGGGGTCAGGGCAGGGCCTCCCAGGATGCGTGAGTCTCTCTGCTTAGTGGAGGCTGACCAGGTCCAGGGCCTTCCAGTAACAGCAGGGAGGAAGCAGACCCCCCCACCCCCGCTAACCTCCAGATGTGCTGCTTCTAGCTGCGCCCACAGCAACCATCTTCACTGACTAATCCTGTGCCGTGTGGTGTGTTTTCCCCACTGACAATGAATAAAAGGCGTGACTGTGTAATGTCTCCTCTTCTTTCCTAAACTGGCTGGGCAGGGCTAGGGTGGGGCCACGGGAAAGAGGCCCACGGAGTTCACAGAGCACCTTGGAGCCTCCTCAAGGTCAGGCTAGATCTTTAGTCTGGTGGAGAATCTAGTCATATAGCACTGCGACCCACTTCAGCTACTTCAAAGGAAAAGGGACACAGATCGCAAAGGATCCCAATGGCAGGCAATTCAGGACATGGGGACCAGGCTGGGGATGTAGCTCAGTTAGTAGACTCAGCACGCACAAAGCCATGGGTTCAATCCTTCGCACTGCTTAAAATGGATATGGTGGTACATGTCTGTAATCTCCGCATTTGAGAGGTGGGAACAAGAGGATTCAGAGCTTAATGTCATCCTAGGCTATTTTGCTGAGTTCAAGTCCAGCCTGGGATACATAAGTTCTTGTCTAAGAAGCAAAAATGAAAAGATCTGGGCTTAGAACGGGAGAGATGACTCAGTTATTGAGCACTGGCTGCTCTTCCAGAGGTCCTGGGTTTAATTCCCAGCAACCACATGGTGGCTCACAACCATCTGTAATGAGATCTGGTGCCCTCTTCTGTCTGATGTCCTCTTCTGTCATGCAAACATACATGCAAAAGATCACTCATATACATAAAATACATAAAAAACAGTTTAAACTTCCAAACTAGAACTGGCAAATGTGGCAACTGGGCCTCTCCCTTTCCAACCTTGGGATCATGGGCTTTGAGTCTCTGGGTAATGGTTACTTTGTATTTTGTTTGTTTAAAACAGGGTCTACTACTTAGTAGCTCAACCTGGCCTTACGCTCCTAATCCTCCTTTAGCCTTCTGAGCCCTGGGATTGTAGGAGTGTTCCACCATTCCTGGGAGGATGTTAATGGCAGGAGACGTTGGTAGAAGGCATCCCAAGAATCCAAACGAGTGGATAGTAACTGATGGCTAAGAGCCAGATGATGGCTGTCTGCTGCCTTTGTGTGAATGGAGAAGAGACACTCTTCTGAGTGGAAGGAAGTGTGTAACTGAGCAGCGAACAGCACCTTTGGATTCCTTAGAAACATATGGCCAGGCACAGGGATGCACGCCTTTAATCCCAGTACTTGGGAAGCAGCAGCAGGTGGATCTCTGTGAGTTCCTGGACAGTCAAGGCTACACAGGGGAACCCAGTCTCAAAAGGAAGGAAGGAAGGAGGGAGGAAGGGAGGGAGGGAGGGAGGGAGGGAGGGAAGGAGGGAGGGAGACAGAGAGAGAGAAGCAAAAGCCAGCCTAGTTTACATAATGAGCTCACACAGTGAGACCCAAGAGAGAAAGCCTAATTCCCCTTTTGCACAAATGTCATCCCAGTGTTCTCAGTTTAACAAGCAGAATGTGTGATGAATTTCAGCCCTCACCTGCCCTGCTTGCAGAATCACTGTCGTATAAACCTGTCCCGCCATCCTCAGGAACTCAGTCTAACCCTGGAGAGTTCCTACACTGACCCAGCGTGGAAGGAAGCAGTGAAATGCTCTTTTCAGAATACCTCCTCGACAGCCAGAGGGGTTCAGGGGCAGTGGCAGGTGGAGGGACCAGCTTCTTTCTGAGCCGCTCCATTGCTTTTACAAGGGTTGCCTCAAGGACACCTGGAGAAGGCAGCTTTCTTGGCAGGAAGCAATTAGGACAGAGGAAGGCCGCTAACCTGCCTTGGGGTAACCATGAGCCAGCGGAGGCAGCTCCGGAGCCTGACTCAGAAGCTGGAAAAGCTAGAGTTGACGCAGGACAGGAAGTCCAGTCCTGCCTCCCTGGAGATGCACAGGTCCCTGGTTGCCTTCTTGACAAATCACTCAATCTCTCACCAGGCAGGTGGATTTACCTCCTACTTTCCTTCCTGCCTTCCACCTCGCCTCCAAGCCAGGACGGCATTTTTAAAGTACACCTCCTATTAAGTCATCTTTTCAAGGGCCCCTCCCCTGCATTACGATCGGTTCCTTAAATATTCCTCAAGGCCCTGCATGATCTGCCACCTTCTGACCTCATAATCCTTGAGGTTTTCCTCCTGCTCCCTGTGTTGGAGCCACCCAGGGTCCCTTCCCTGGGGCCTCGTAAGCCTATATACTCCCATAAGCCATTGCTCCTTTCTGGGCCACTGGTCCTCCCCCCAATCTTCAGAAAGCCTTGCAGTCCTCCAATAAGAACCCCTCATGTTTACAGGGTCCATTGCAGTCAGAAGACCTTCCTGCGTGGTTCCCAGGTAGCCAGGCTGAGCACATTTAAGTCACTCATGGTCTGGATATGAAGTAGGAACCTAGTTGGAGAACGTAGGCCACTAGGTGTGGATCCTTGTGTATATAGTGCCCCAGTCACCTTCCCTGCCCCTCTGGTCCACTTGAGGAGTGTCCCACTGCCAGGACACTCTGCCTCTTCGCGGAACCAGAAGCAACAGGTGCTTGCTCCAACTTCGCTAGATTGAACCCTCTAAAACTACAAACCAAAGTAAACTCTTAAGTCCTTTAACTTGTTTCCGCCAGGTAGTTTGTCACAGCCACACCAAAGTGGCAAATATGATCTGCCTCAAAAAAATATGATTTTCCTCAAAAGATGGAGCTGCAGGCTCACAGAGTTGCTGTTCTGCCTCGGGGGCTTGAGCTCAAATATGCTGACATTGAGGCCACTGATTTCTCAGTTATGGGAGTAAACCCAATCCAGACTATGAATGGGGCTGGCAAGCTAAGGGTCTTGCCTGGTGAAGATAGTAAGAGGTAAAGAGCCAAGCGGAGCGATGGTTACGTGAAGATGTGGTACATGACATGGGCCTCACTAAATACCAGCCATTGGTACCAGGCCTTCTGAGGCAGGATGCCCTTAGAAGCAGCTCAGGTATGTTGACGTCCTAGGACCTAGAGGGTCTGTTCACGGTTTATCATCTGAAGAGGTGCTAAGCATCAAGAGAAATTGTTAGCAGGAATGCAGGAAGGCAAAGCCAGGGAATCCCTACAGCAGCCAGCTCTCAGGGAGGACCATGCAAGCCAAGAGGACAGCCAGAAACCAGAGGGTCAAAAGAACAGTTGAAGGTTAATTCGCTAACCCTTCATACAGGGTCTAGGCAAAGCTCTGACATATGTCATCCTTTGATGGCAAGGAACAGACACCTAGTCCTGTCAGCATAAGGAGGCACAGGCTAAGCCGGGCTTTTGTTTACAGGTGGACACAAGCTCAGGACACAAGTATGTACCCTACAGTTTCAGTCCTCGGGAGACCGAGGCAGAGGATTGTCTTGAGTTTGAGGCTAGCTTTGGTTACATAGTGAGTTCTAGGACAGCTTCAGCTTAAACTACTTCAGAGTTTAAGACTCTGTCTAAAAACAAACAACAGAAGCAAAACATGAGCAAACATACAAGCTAAACAAGCTCAAGCAAACGGGGCTTCTTGACTCCCACAATTAGAAGCTCAGGTCCCACCGGATCCGGAAGCTCAACATTCCACCCATTCCCACTGCCTGCTCCCTCTCTCCCCACTCCTCCCCCCTCCCTTCTCTCTCCAACGTCCCTGACCTAGACTGGCTTCTCTGTATCCTTTCATCTGCTCAGTTATTCCCAATCAAAACCCCAATGGGATAACCCAGCATGGTGTCGCACGCCTTTAATCCCAGCACTTAGAAGGCAGAGGCAGGAGGATGTCTGTGAGTTTGAGGCCAGCCTCGTGTACGTAGGGACTTCCAGGACAGCCAGGACTACATAAGCAGATGCTATCTCAAAAACAAGTAAACAAACAAAAACCAACAACAACAAAAAACCAACAAAACCCAAGGAGATTAAAAACAAACAACAACAGCAAAAACCAACAGTCTCAGAACATCCCTATGACTGCCCAGAAGGGGGCAACACAGCCACTCCTATATCAGTAAGTTTAGCAATGGTCAACCCAGTCTCAGAACGTGCTGGTCCCTGAGTATTGGAGAGAGACCGGCAGCTTGTTTCTCTCATGGGGTCCTCTGTCTGTCTTTGCCCATATCTGCCCACAGAGACTTCTCTGACCACATACGCTCTGTTTTAGAAGGACTCTAACACTCTGCAGAGGCTCATCCAGGCCTTTTGGGTGATGCTGGAGGCTGACCACCTAAATCCACATTCTAAAGAAAAAGAAATTTGACTGGCCCAGGTCATCTTTTCAAGCCAGTCACATAAATCAGAATTGCTGGGGATGGATTACTTTTATGTAAATAAAACACTCATCCCCATCCGTTCCAGTCTGAAAAAGGATATATTGGAAACTACTTCCCCAAATTTACTTTTATTTTTTAATTTCCCCTCTCCTCTCACCCAAATCTATGTTACTGTTTTTCTAGAGAGATATCTCTATTCACTCCAGATACAAGGCAACACCCAAAGTGATGTAATCCAAGTCCAGCCTACGGGTGAGCTCACTGGGGTTACATACAGGTGTGTGGGTGACGGTTCTTTTTTTTTTTTTTTTTTGATTTTTCGAGACAGGGTTTCTCCGTAGCTTTTGGTTCCTGTCCTGTGGGTGATGGTTCTTTAAAGAATCTGGGCAACTGGGGGAAACAGCCTCACCAAAAAAACTCAGCACAATGATGACTCAGAAAAGCTATAAGGTTGGGGTTCCCATTCAGCTTGCAGGTTGCTATACCACCAAAGGTGCTCACCTCTTCTGGTTTACTTTGCCCTTTATATCATTGGGAGGGAACCCCAAGTCTTTAAAACCTCCCGGGCTTTCTGATCCTCGTAAGTTTCTTGGGCCTCTGAACCTCCCAGGAAGGAATGTTTCGGCAGGAGGAAGCAGCTACAGAACAAGATTTACTTGGTTCCTCCCAGGGCACGGCGGAAGCTAGACACTGCTCCACTCGTTCCCAGGTCCCAGGCAAAGGATGCCCCCAGTTAGGCTAATATTTTTCAGGGTATCCTATTCACCTCTGAGAGATGGCTGTGTCCTGGACCCGATAACACAGGGCTCTTTACCAGCGTGGACAATACCCTGATCTTCTAAAATGCTAAGCTATAATTCTTTGGGTCCCAGACCCCATTCCTCCCTTCCCTTCCAACCACCGCACAACTGTCACTAACCACCCCAAGTTCAGCACCCGGGACCTGGAAATTCACGCCCTCTGCTGGTATACAGGGGAGCCGACATGAATCCGGTTTCAGAGTCCCTTGGAATCTTAAAAGCGCCCTGGATTCAAGAGCCCCTTCGCCTGTATGTGGAAGTCCCACACTTACCTCCACCTGCAATAAGGCACCCTGTTCATAAACGGAGTTGTCTGCCCACCACTTCCCTAGGTTCAAGCATGGGCCGGGATTTGAGAAAAGGCGGCCGATTGAGCAGGGTCCCAGGACGCTGGCATCCAAGGGACAAGGGGCCTGTTAGCTTGGAGGAGTTCTTACCTATTTATTTTCTGTTTTGGGAATCACTGTGTTAGGGAGAAGTTGTTAGGCTTCCTCCTTTCTCGATGCCCTTGAACTTCATCCCTACAACCCTGAATCCGCAGCACCCTACAAGTCCGGCTCCAACTGGCCTTCTCCAGAAAGCAGGCGGCACCTGCCCCGTCTTGCTTCAGACACGGGTCAGCCGAAGAACCAGAGCTCAGCGGTCCCCTAAACGCCAGCGGCTCCTTGAACCCACTTGTGTCCCCCCCAACCCGCGGCGGGCGGGCGGGCGGGGCGGGCTCACTCGCACTCCCTCCTGGCCCTGCCCGCCTGCTTCTTCTGCCCGGGACGCGCCTCCCTCCCGCAATCCAGTTCTGTGAGCTCCGTGTCTCTGCCGCCACCTGGTCTCGCCTGGCCAGATCGGATCCGAGCCGAACCATGGAACCCGGACAACCCCGGGAGGTCCGTGAACCCGGACCCGGGGCAGAAACCTCTGAGGCGCCGCGCTGGGAGGAGGCCAAGACTTTCTATGACAATCTCTCGCCCAAGAAGAAACCCAAATCGGTAAAACACGGGGCTTGGGTTTGGGGGGGACACTGGACGAGCAACTTCCAAGGAGGGGTCTCAAGCCCTCTGGAAAGGGACTCGTGGAGCCCCTCCCGGAGGGGACACAGCTCCTTCGCCCCAGAATGTGCCCGGCAGTTGGCGCGGGCTCCAGTTTATTTTGGGAGCTCTGCTCTGGTGGCGGTGGTTTATTCCCCCATCCCGGGCTCAGGTTCCACGCCAGAACCCCCCTCCCCCATGCTGTCATCAGGGGCCCGCCCCCTCCCCGGCGGCGCTGGCAGCCCCTGAAGCGCTGGCGGACCGCACTTGTTGACAGTGCTGGTCAGCAACCCCGGCAGCAGCACCCGGGATCAGTGGGAAGTGGAAGCCCCGCTGCTCGCAGTGTTTTCGGGGCTCCAGCTTCCGTGCAGTCAGCTGGGCTTCCCAACTCAAGCCTAGGCGCTTGGGCTCTAACTGGAGACCCATGCCCTAGGGAATCAGAGGGATCGCTTTCCCTGCATTTTAAAGAAACTGTTACTTGCTCCAGCCTCAGGGCCTCGTTCCCAGGCTCTGAGTTCCCAACGCTAGGCCTTGCATCCTAGACAATGCTTCTGATTCGTGGTGGGCATTAATAATACAGAAATCACAATGGTGGCATCAGCCCTTTGCAATTTCACGCAGAGAGAGGCAAGAATTCCTCTTCCTCTATTGGACAAGCTTGTGATGCATTGGTCTTGTTCACGCCACTACCTTAGACCCAGTAACTGACCTTAAAGCATCCCACCGCTTCACTCCAGTGACTTTACCCAGAAGGCCACGCTATCCACCGTCACCTCAGGGGGGCCTTCACTCATCCTGTCTCAGGATGTTAAGCTGCCTGTCTCAGGAGTTTGCAGTGTGCCCACGGATACAACAGAGATGGTGGATGTTCAGGTAAAGATCTCACAGTACTGTGGGATCATAGGGGAGGGGGCCACTGCCTCAGGGAAGGCTTTGATCTTCAGTGAGTGTAGCCTCCTGGACCGAGGGGAACAGAATGGTTGAAAAGCAAAGAGCTGTCTCTGGAGCCAAGGGCCTTGTTCAGAATCTGTACTGTGTGGGAAATGCAGGATTGTTGGGAGAAGTCTTACAAGGACCCAAAAAGGCTCCCTGATGGATGGATCTTATTTAGTGGGTTGAGGCTTTCCTACTGGGTTCTGTGGAACCCCATGTCTCAGGCAGTCTTCAGACCCGTGAATCCAATTTATTTTCTTAAAAAAAAAAAAAACTTTAAATAACTGCAAAAAGCAGCTCTTCCCATTCTAAAGTGTTTAGTGGTGCGAATTAGGGCTTTCTTGGGGCTGTGCAGAAACATAAAAATAAATGGCTGGATACCAAAGTTTAAGTCTGTGGCAGTGTCCTGACTCCTGCTTTCAAATGCATTGTTACCCAAAAGTTGTATCCATTGGTTAGTTTTGTAACAAATACATTCATGTAGATAGGTTGGTAGGTAGGTAGCTATCACATCTGAGTTCTTAGAACTAAAGCAATTATATTGTTGGCTCATATTACATATTGGGGTTCTGCCTAAGGATTCACTTGACTATAAAGAAAAGGTCAGCCGGGTGGTGGTGGTGCACGCCTTTAATCCCAGCACTCGGGAGGCAGAAGCAGGTGGATCTCTGGGAGTTCGAGGCCAGCCTGGTCTCCAAGAGCTAGTTCCGGGACGGGCACCAAAGCTACAGAGAAACCCTGTCTCGAAAAACAAAAACAAAAAAAAATAAAAATAAAAATTAAAATTAAAAAAATATAAGAAAAGGTCATTCTACCTTTTAAAAGTATGAAAATCATAATGGGACTGCTGCAGGATCTTGCTTATTTTTTTAAGCAGAGATTAACTTGGTTCCACTTTTGTTTTATAAAGACAACACTGGCCTGTTATTCGGGTGGTTTGCGGTTGGGTCTGGTGGCAGTCGGGCCAGTGAGATGCAAACCTGGGCCAATGTCCTGGCCAGAGGAATGGGGAGGGACGAACGCTGGAAAACAGGAATGAGTCCTCAGTGTTCCAAACCCATTTCTGAGAACCAGGCCTTCCTCTGCCCTTGAACCCTCGTCTGATTAGGTGGCGTTCTCAGCTCCTATTCCTTCCTGTCATAGCCCCTCTTCCCACAGGCTATTTTGGGGGTTGCAAGCCTCATGGGTCCCATCAGGGCCTTGTCTGGGCTCATTTTAATTCCCAGGAGTTTGAGTGAAATATTTAACCTAGTGAAGGCCACCAGAGGCCTTCACCCAGAGCTGTCCTGTTCTCCCGAGCATCCCTCCTATGTCCTTCCAGAAATAGCGGTTTGCTTGGCTATGTTCCTATCTCGAGTGCAAGAGACAGATTGCTGGTCTAAGTGGAAGCTCCTTGGACAGGCCAGTGGCACTGGGCTACCCACTGTTAATTCTTCACCTTCACCCCGAAGCCACAGCGATCAGCTGAGTCTCAGAGCTGACAAGATCATGGCTCCCTAAAGCTCAGCCCAGGCTGAGCCCCTAGGTTGTTCTGACCCAGTTCCTAGCCTGAAGTGGATGTTCAGATTTTGGCATGCATCACAACATATGGCTTGGGTGTTAAGTGACCTGGTCAGGCATAAAAGAGTCAGTCTACAAGGGTTCAGCTTTTCCGGGCTCTGCACAGACCCTGTCACCTGTTCCTTCAGACCCACTTGGAGGCTGGACAATCTATAGCACTTGGATTCCCGCACTCGCTTATGCTGTATCAGAGACCACTTGTTCTTCAGGAGAAGAGTACCTACCACACCATGAAACATCCCAGGATGAGTACACGAAGCTTCTCATCATTCCTCCAAAATATGTCCAGGGAAGTTGCTAAAAGAAGGGAATGACAGTTCTGTCTCTAAGACTCCCAAGTGCTGATGACATTGAGAAATTCCCATCCCCATATGGACAAACGGACACACAGATGGTCAGAAACTGGCAAGACTGGGTTGAACCTCAGAGGGGAGGGGCACTTTTGCACTATTGCCTTCCATCGGCCCTGCTGGCCACCTACACCATCTCGGCTGAAGTTAAAAAGTTCAACACAAGCTGTAGTCAGCTACACGACTTTGCAGAAGTCTTTGGGTTTTCCATTCCTATTTTGAGGCTCTGAGGCTTCACTGGCCATTAATTTAAGCAGCTTAAATTCATTAAAAATTAAGTGAATTTAGGACCGAAAATATGGACCAGTCAGTGTAGCCAGTCAGTGAGCTCCAGCCTTAGTGAGGGAGCGATCCTGTCTCAAAACATTCAGTGGCGAGCAATAGAGGAAGACACTGACGCCTGCTTCTGGGCTCTGCACGCACATATACACTGTGTGTGTGTGTGTGTGTGTGTGTTTATAAAGTAAGTGATGTTAGATTTCAAATCTTCAGCATCACCTGTCGCTTTTGAAGTCACTGCACAGCCACACAGCACAGTTTTTAGAGCATTTCCATAAAGGCCCAGCTTCTAGAGCTGCCCAGATCACAGAAAAGTGGCGTCCTACAGTTCCCACACACCTACAGTCTGTTTCTGCAGCCGCTGTCCATGGTGGCAGCCTCCTCGCACCATCTTCTAAAGGAATCTCTGCATGGAAAATGGGTCAGAAGCTCCGTGGGGACAGAGACCAAACCTGTCTTGCCTCCTGACATGGCCCCAGCCTAGCATCACTCATTGCTGCCAATCATTTTGGAGCCTAGCAGTGGGTGGAATACATCATCCCCAAGATTATCATAAACGAGCTATGTCTTCTCAACTGTAAAGGATCATGACCCTAGGACTGTCACAGAGCAGTGGTGTCCATGAGCTTCCTACATGCTCATGTTCTGGTCTTCTCCACAAATCAGTCAGGGTCCAGCTGCTGTCCATGGTGACATTCCCCTCACCCCATTCTACCGAAGTCAGATGTCTTGGTCCTTTTGGGTTACTGTATCAACGTGACACAGACTGAATGACTTACACTGTAAACAATAGAAATTTCTCTCTTGCAGTTTTGGAGGCTGGGTGTCCAAAATTAGGAAACCAGAAGACTGGGGTTCTTTTTCTCGTTTAAAGATGCTAACTTCTAGCTACATCCACACATGGTGGAATAGTCAAGGCAAACTCTGGTGACTTTTTTCTAAGAAAAGTTCTAACCACTCTCAAAAGCTCTACCCCTTAATATGACCACATTCAGGATTATAGTTCAACGTGAGATTTGGGGGATTCATTCAGATACAGCATTTGGGAAGGAGTGCTGAGACCCACTTGTGAGGAGGCCCCTATGAAATCTGGCCCCCACCTATCCTTCTGGATGTGTTTACACTCTCCTCCATCCTGGCCTCTGCTCACTTTTGTGAAGGCTGCGTCTGTGCTCACCAATTCTTGTGGCCTCTTCCTTCAGGGTCTTCCTCAAAGGCCTCCAATCCCCCAATGACTTCCCTGAAGCCGTCATCGAGACCTTGCTTCCCCCATCTGTTATATACTCCCATCCCATTGCCTCCGGATTCTGTCCTCCTATCTTCCCCCATGCCCTGATGAACTCTGAGGGCAGGGGCCATATCTTCCTAACAGAACTCTTCCTCGGCAGACGCCATAGAGGAACCAACTGAAGAGGAGCTCCAGAGCGAGGGCGCGAGTCAACCAGACAGAGGATGCGGGGAATAGCATATTCGCCATAGTGAGCAATAGTGAGGATAGTGAGCAAGGAAACACCAGGTTCAAGGGTCAGTGGACAAGGGGAAGGTGCACGAAGACACGAGAAAGGTGAGGTTGAGCAAAGATGGATAAGGGGAAGCTGAGAGTAGAAAGGAAGTAGAGGTCTCTAGCAAAGGACTTCTTGCTCTGTGGGAAAGGCTGTCTGCTTGACTCTGTAACCGCTGACTAGGTGTGACCAGGTGAGCTGTGATTATCTCTGCACTTTAGTGAGACCCTCTGAAAATGTGGGAAGGGTAGAGGTGATTGTGGCCTGGGCTATGGAAGAGAAGAAGAAGCGGGTGGATTCCAGGTATGGGTGACTTGGACGCTTAATCAACGCAGAAAGGAGTGGGGAAAGGCGGGGTGAAGGTTTACTTCCTGGCTTCGGTTGTCTGTTCGTCAAGTGGTCATCTGGATGAGTAGATGGGGCATTGAGCACAAGGCGCAACAAAGGGGGGATTTGGGTTTGGCTTTGGGGATAAGGGTGGGGAACTCAGCCTCAGGAGCTGTAAATTGGGGTGTCTGTGGGTCTGTTGGTTGACTGGGGCAGTTAGATACATGAATCTGCAGCTCAGGAAACAGATTTCTCAGGAAACAGATCCAAGCTGAGATTTTAAAAATTCTTATATAATTACTGTGTTCCTGGGCACTAATTTCTTCCTGGCAATATGCTGCCCTTCTTTCATGATGGAAACCGTTTGGGAGTCATCTCAGTGTGGCCTGACTTTGTCTATAACATTGTACTCATTGTCCGTGGTGTCCAGATGGCCGGCAGTATTACACGCTCCCTGAGGGCCTGCCCTCCTTCTTGTCACACCCGTAATAAGGAGCCGGTCTCCAGCAGGGTCCAACCCAGAGTGACCTCTGCCCAAGACTGACTTGCTCTGGAGCAGAGCCTTGGCCTTCTCCACGTCCCCAGATCCAGGAAGGGCTTGCAGTACACCTGCCTCAGAGTGAGTCTGAGTAACAGCCTGTCCCACTGTCCCTCTCGTAGCCAAAGCCTCAGAATGCGGTCACCATCGCTGTGTCCTCCAGAGCCTTGTTTCGCATGGACGAGGAGCAGAGGATCTACACAGAGCAGGGGGTGGAGGAGTACGTGCGGTACCAGCTGGAACACGAGAATGAGCCCTTCAGCCCCGGGCCAGCCTTCCCCTTTGTGAAGGTGAGGGGCCGGTTCCTGAAGCAGCCTACAGGAGGCCTCCCTCAGAACCTCTGCCTGGTAGAGGCAAACCCCACAGCTAGAGGACTGAGACTTGGTGGGAAGAGGAGGCCACCGTCCTCGGGACTGATGGAGCCCCAGAATGGGTAACCAGATTGAGGATGGATCCCCCTTCATCCGCCTTTAGTGAAGTGCCTCTGAGCAGCTGAGTAGTGAACAACCCCCACAATGGTGGAATTGTGGCATTAAAGGGTGGTGGTGTGCACAGATCTCATTCGAAATCACGCCTGTCCCTGGCCTCCCCTCTTCTTCCTCAATGGATCCCTAGCCGCCAACTCCACTCAATCCCTGGGACTCTGACCTGGTCTTTGCTCTCTCCCTCCCAGGCCCTGGAGGCTGTGAACAAGCGGCTTCGGGAGCTGTATCCCGATAGCGAAGATGTTTTTGACATTGTCCTCATGACCAACAACCATGCTCAAGTGGGAGTCCGTCTCATCAACAGTATCAACCACTATGGTAGGCATGGGGGGTGACCATGGGATGTCCCTACCACACACGCCCCCTAAGGGAAGGCCACACCTCTGCAGGGTCAGGCTGGGTTAGACTTTACAGACTACCTTCCTAAGCCCAGAGATGGCCTACTAACATGGCATCGTATTGTATTTTTAACCTGGTCTTTTAAAACATGTAAGGCTGAGGCTGTGATCCAGCTGGTAGGGTATTTGCTTAGCAGGCAGAAAGTCCTGGGCTCAATCTCTGACACTGCTTAAAAGCTAGGTATAGCAATGCATGCATCTTATGCCATCACTCAGGAGGTGGGGGCAGGAATTCCAAGTCTCCCTTGGCTACGTGGTGAGTTCAAGGCCAGTCTGGAATAAATGAGACCCTGTTTTAAAACAAACAACAAACAAGGAGCTGGGGATGTGGCTTAATTGTGTTTGCCGGGCATGCGTGAAGTCCTTGGTTAGACCCACCCCCCTCAGTACCACACTAAAAAGCAAACAACCAAGACATGGTGGCATATGAAGCGGTAACCCCAGCAGCTGTGCAGTCAGTGAAACGGAGGCAGAAGAATGAGTAGCGCATTTTCAGATACACAGTGAGGCCAGCCTAGGCTACACGAGACCCTGCCTCAAAAATATTTAAAAAAATAATAAGACTGTAATGCTGTGTACAGTGGCACACACCATTAATCCCAGCTCCTGGGAGGCAGAGATAGGTTGATCTCTGAGATGAAAGCCAACCTGATCTATAGAGGTAGATCAGGACAGCCAACAGCTACAGGGAGAAAAACCTTGTTTAGAAAAACAAACACTGGTGAAAACCTGTAAAGATAAACAAAACTGATTTGAAAATGCTGCTCGTTTACAGGATGTTGTCCATGGCTGATTTCTGGCTACCCATGGTTGATCAACATAACTGGCTCATAAAATCCCTGGATATTTAATAGCTGACTCTTGCAAGCTGGCACCAGCCAGTTACAGCCCACACAAGACAGGCCCTGCTCCTGTGTAAAAGGAATGGTGTTTACTTCCTCTGTGCCTCGGTTTCTCGAGCTGGAGGAGACTAGCAAGCCTCATGAGACTGATGGGAGATCAGGGGCTGTTCAGGATGAAAGGGTGCGTCTTCTTTTGCTACAGTTTTGATTGAAAGTTCTCAGTTTCTCGGAGCAAGCTTCCAGCGAAGGGGACCATTGTCGGTTCCAGGATGACTCTGAACCACAGAGCAGAAAGGAAAAATGGACCCAGAGAGGCCAGAATCCAAGTCTTGGCGATCTCTCTTGGGCTTGTATTCTCTCCGGGCCAAATGGACCCTTGTGCTTATTTAGCAAGCTTATTCCTTAGTTTTCATCTGTAGCTACAGTTCCAGGAAATCTGAATACTTCCAGCCCCTCTTCTGGCCTCCACAGGCAAACAGGCATGCACAGGGTCCATACACACACGTGCAGGCGAAACACCCAAACACATGACGTTTTTTAAAAACAGGGTCTGGAGAGATGGCTCAGTGGTTAAGAGTACTGGCTCCTCTTCCAGAAGACCCAGGTTCAGATTACATGGCAGCTCACAGCTGTCTGTAACTCCAGTTTTGGGAGATCCAACACTTTCACACAGACACACATGCAGGCAAAACACCAATGCACATAAAATAAAAAATAAATAAATCATAAATAAAAAAACACCAACACTAACTCATCCATATTTATAGCTTTACAAGCTCTTGTTTCAAGCAGCCAACAACCCAGTTAGGTGTTCATTTTATTTTACTTACTTAATTTTGAAACAGGATCTTACTGTGTATTCCAGGCTGGCCTTAGACTTGAGAGTCTCTTGTCTTAACCTTCCTAGTACTGGAATTTCAGACATTGTAGACATGTGCCACCATTTCCTTCCTTCCTTTCTTTCTTTCTTTCTTTCTTTCTTTCTTTCTTTCTTGATAGGGCATTTCCAAGACTCTAGCTGTCCTAGAACTTGTGGAGTTCTGTCTGTCTTTGCTTCCTGAGTACTGGGATTAAAAACATGTGCTTTACTACCTTTGTAAAACAAAGCAAAACAAAACAACTTTTATGTATATGTCTGTTAGTGAATGCCATACCACCTGTGTGAGGGGCCTTTAAAGGTCAGAAGAGGCATCAGGAGCCTTGGAGCTGGAGTTACAGACAGTTGTGAACGGCTACATGGATGCTGGGAACTGAACTTGGGTCCTCTGGAAGAACAGCCAGGGCTCTTAACCACCGAGTCATCTATGTCTCCAGCCCCATTCACTTCTTCAAACTGTAGTTGCTTATTTTGGGTGCTGCAGAATGAAACCTGGCCTCTGTGTGTGTTCAGTCATTAAACCACACCCTTAGTCTCCAGCTGGCATTTTGTAATACTGATTTCAAATTTCTGAGTGTGAGGGCGAGGTTAGCGCTTTTTAACCGCAGGTGCTGAGCAGTCAAAATCGGCAGCACTCCGTGCTTGCGTAGGGCCCTGGGGGAACCTCTGTGGGGTGGTATTAACCTTGCCTGTTGTGGGCTGTGAGGAAGACAGCAGTCCTCGGGTAGTGGCTGAGGCTAGCGGCCACTCGTCAGTCAGCAACTATTACACAGCTTTTGCCACCATGGGAGCAAGCTCCCCAGGTTGGACTCTGATCGCTCGGCTGGGTCCAGACTCTGCCAATTAGTACAATCAGCTGTGACCAGGAAGCCCGGGTCTGAGTAGGAAGGAGGCTGTAAACCAGGAGCTTTCTCCAGATGTGTGACCATTCTGTTTCCTCGATGAAAGATGCAGGGGAAATGCCAGGCGGAAAGAGAGAGGCACTCTGCTGGCCACGCCCCCTCTCAGATCCCAGGCAGCTCACACTAGGCAGAGAGAGACCATTCTGGGGCCTCACCCGGGCTCTCTCTACCTCCACAGACCTCTTCATTGAGCGATTCTGCATGACAGGTGGGAACAGCCCCATCTGCTACCTCAAGGCCTATCACACCAACCTCTACCTGTCAGCTGATGCGGAAAAAGTGCGAGAAGCCATTGATGAGGGTAAGTCAGAACGGAGAGGGAGACTATGGGGACACTTGCGCATACATAAAGGGGTCCCAGTGGGGAGAAGCCTGGTCCTGAAGCTCTGAACAAGCGCTGGGGTTGTCAAGGTAACTGCAAGGGGAACTGTGCATAGGTCCCATGATCTGTCTTGTAAAGTGAAAACAAAGCCCTCCCTAATCCTCCTTCCCTTCTCCTGCTCTACTGTGTACATCCATCAACATCACCTAGCCTTCTGTTTCCATAGAAACTTTCCTTACAGCCCAGAAAGCTACTGCTTCCTAAGATTCCTCAGGCCTGATGGGAGTTCTGATTCCTGTGTGATCAGGAAGCTTCCATCCATCACTGGGCCAGTGAAAAAGAGGGAAGATTCATATTTAACCTGGCCTGAGTGATCGGCTTTCATCTCCCACAGATGAACTGTCTCATGTTGAGGTGAGATTAGGGGACTCAGCTACAAGTATTGATAATGAGAAGCTCATTCCCTGTGCCCCTTTCAAGGGGTGACAGGCATGGTCTCAGTCCTCCCAATAGGAGCCCGCGGAGGAGGAAAGACTGATTGCCCATCTGCCTGGATGTGTACTCAGGCTGGACGCTCAGGGTTTCTTTGTCAACTGCTCCCTTCCATACTGGCCTTTCTTTGGTGAGGCTTTCTTTAGCCAGGACCCATAGGGATTTCCCTAGGTACGTCACACCCTTTGTTTGGGGTCTGGGAACTAACCTGTATGTGTGTCTCTGTGCATGTGGAATTTGGCTTTTAGTCTAGGGGGTGTGGTTAGATAAATTTCCTGCTCAGAGGAGGGGGGTTCTGGGCCATCTTGGCATTTGACTGACACAGCTGAGAAGGTAGGTAGCCTAATACTCAGGACCTTGTCTTACCCTAGGCATCTTTAGGCTAGTGAAGCCGCTGTGGGACCTGTACTGCTGGCTCTTGCCAGAGCTCTGCGGAAGCCTACCTCCATGACCCTAGATTCCCAAGGAGTAGGGTAGAAGGGGCCTTTAGAGAGATGACGACCATGGGAGGAGGATTCAGTTGATTCTAACCTGGAGCCTTGGTCTCTGACAGGCCTCCTTGCACCCAGAGGAGCCTTGGTTGCAGGAAGTCTCTATACACTATCACAGGGAGTTTACGCTGTTTCCCAGGACCAAGCACATTATTCCACAGTCTGAACCAACGTGACATCAGTATACCTGGGTGCTTGGCGGCTGTAGACAGGGTGTCCACACCCACCCATCTCTCCTGCAGCCTGAGAGCTCAGCCTCAAATGGACCTGAAAAAAACCTGAATTTTATCTTGGTCCAAAGAAAGTATGTAACTTGCCATCACTCGTGAAGGAGTGTCTGCAACCCCCAAGGCATGCTTCCCTGTCTGCTGGAGGTTCCTATAGGGTGTAGAATTCCAAACAGAACAGAGAGATAGGAGTCCTGTGCTCCCAGCCAAGACTGGTATTTGACTAGTCCACACCAGCCTGATCTTCCTCAGTGTTAAAGTATTCGAATTTCTTCAAGCTGGCTGATAAATAGCTCTTCAGTGCCCTCCTGCCCAAGGTCACCTCTGGAGCTCTCCCCGCAGATTGTATTAGTGAGGCAGCCTCTAGACCTTGGTGGGGACCCTCAGAGTGACACCTCTGCCCTGCAGCTGCTGCATACTCATAGCCAGGATCTGCAGACTCCCAAATTAAACTGCCTTTAATAGGAGTCCCTGTTCCACTTGCCTTTAGTTCTGGGGAAGCTGGTGGAACAAGGACAGCGTGAGACACCCTCTCCTGTGCCCAGGCAGACAACACTTACCTCTCTCTGTGCAGGGATTGCCGCTGCCACCATCTTCAGCCCCAGCAGGGATGTGGTTGTGTCCCAGAGTCAGCTCCGCGTGGCCTTCGATGGGGACGCTGTGCTCTTTTCTGACGAGTCAGAGCGCATTTTCAAGGCCCATGGACTGGACAGATTCTTCGAGCATGAGAAGGCCCATGAGAACAAACCTTTGGCGCAGGTGCTCCATACTCCCAGGACCCCCGAATAGCCCCTTATTCCCCAGAACCCAGCCTGACCTGGACTCACAGCTCAGGGCCAAACCCAGGCTAAGCCCACATCCCCACCAGGTTCTCTTACCAAGACTCAAGACTCCTCTCTCTCTCTCTCTCTCTCTCTCTCTCTCTCTCTCTCTCTCTTTCCTTTTCTGTCCCTCTCTCTGTGTGTCTCTTTCTGTCTGTGTCTCTCTCCCTCCCTGTCTCTCTGTCTCTATCTCTGTCTCTCTCTATCTGTCTCTCTCTTTCTCTCTCGTTTCTCAAGGCAGGGTTTCTCTGTGTATATCTGCCTGCCTCTGTCTCCCAAGTTCTAACCCTCTCTCACATTTGGCCCCTGGCTCCCTTCAGTGAGACTCCACCCCTTCCCTGAGTCCCACCTCCTCACTCAAGTCCCATCCCCCACCTCTTGAGGCCTCTAGCATCTCTCTGAAGACGCCTTTGCCTCCCTGCTTTGTTCCTCCAAACCCCTTTCTAAGGTCTCCGTCTCCTCTGAGAAGCACCCACCCCCATTCTGAATCTTCAATCCTTCTCTGAAGTCCCCAGCCCTCCATAAAATCTGAGCCACCACCCCCCCGCCCAATCCACTGACCTTACCCTGTAAACCTCAACTCCTCTTTTTAAATCCCCTTCTGAGTAAGCAGCTACCCCTCCAGAAGCCCCTGCTCCCATCACCAGGAGACAGGAAGAACTCTTTTGCCCTAGTGTGGGTAGCTGAGGCTGTGGTGACCTGGGACCACCTCTTACTGTTGCCTTGATAAATTGACTCAGAGAGCCTCACCTTCCCTCACTCTTCTCAATGGCTCTCTGAGAACAGAACGTGTCTTGGAGCTTGTTAGAAATTCCCTAGGGGTGGAGCAATGGGATTCTCCAGCCTTGCTGGGAGCTTCAACTTAAGCTTTTATAGAAATCTAGGTGCCCAGGGCAGGACACTTTCCCCACTAAGTGGTTGACAGAGACCCAGAAGAACACTACTTATCCCAGGTTACCCAGCTAGGGAAATCCCCAGGACTAGCAGCCCACCTTCCTTGGCTCCAATGGGCAACATTCTACACCATTTGGTTCTTTATTCATAGACCTGCGGTAGCTTTGTTGCTGTGGTCATATCCCCTGATCCCAAAGAGCTTGAGACCAACACCCTGAGCCACACGTATGTCTGTCCACAGACAGGCTCATAGTTGGTAGCTACACACTGAGCCATCTGGCGCAGATGTTCACAGATAGAGAGTCCACTCTGGTTGGCAGCTGCCCATGCCGTCATTACTAGCTCGTTTTAATTCCTTCTTTGCTAATAAACACAGACAACCACACTTACAGAGCTTCAGGATAGATTGCTGCAAGAGACATGGATGGATATGACTAGCAACAGTTGCCCTGACACCGCCCTGATCACAGTAAGATAGATCCCAGACTACAGGTACCTACAGCCCCAGCAGGTACACAGTAGCCAGAAGATTTACGGATTTCCCACCCCAACAGTCTGGCGCTTTAGGATAAAAGGGCGGATGTTTAGCAGGGGGATCTTACAGTGTCTCCTTAACTCCATAGGGCCCCCTAAAAGGCTTTCTGGAAGCACTCGGTAGACTGCAGAAGAAATTCTATTCCAAAGGCCTGCGGCTGGAGTGCCCGATTCGTACTTACCTGGTGACAGCGCGCAGTGCGGCCAGTTCTGGGGCTCGGGCCCTCAAGACCCTGCGAAGCTGGGGCCTGGAGACGGATGAGGCCTTATTCCTAGCTGGAGCACCCAAGGGCCCCCTTCTTGAGAAGATCCGCCCACACATCTTCTTTGATGACCAGATGTTTCATGTGGCTGGGGCACAGGAGATGGGCACAGTGGCTGCCCATGTGCCTTACGGCGTGGCCCAGACACCCCAGCGGGCGGCTGTGGCTAAGCAGACTCTAGGTTCACAGTAGTAGGGTCACCTCGCTGTAGGCTCCCTGACATACTTCCGAACCTCATCTGGTGACCTTTCCTGGCGCCTCACTGTCCACCATCCTGCCTGTTGCCCTCTTCCCTTTGCTCAGATACTCCAAGGAATTTAGGAAGTCGGGGCCAGCATTCTCACAGTCCCTGCTGGGCAAACACTGCCATGATCCTGGCAAGGAAAACATGACTCGGCAGGGTAGTTTAGATGCCGTGGAGAAATTGGTAGGACCGAGAGCGGCACAGTCAGAGAAGCCAGGATGCCAAAGGGCTTGGGATGAAAACTGTCACATGTAGTGTGAAGAGCATTGTGCAGGAGAGGGTGGATTAAGGCATGGACTGCATGACTTAAGTCCCTCTTTTTTGTAAGCCTCAGTTTACCCCCCTTTTAGGTGATTTCCAAGCTGTCCTTTAGTCAAAGCTTGGATGATGCCCTAAATGGATCCTCCTGTGCCGGGGCTGCTGGTTCCTATGGCACCTGTGTAGATTACAAGATAACACTCTGTCTAGGTGAATGAATGACAAAAATGATGGCCCTTCCGCTGGCTCAATCCTGGCCATAAGCTAGATTCCAGACCTTCGCTCCTCAGCCCTTTAGCCCATCAGATGGAAAATACGCACAGCCCTGTCCATATCTCGCCATGTTTGGGAACTACTGCACAGGGTGACCTGTTGTTTCCTGTGACTTGCTAACCTGAGCTAACCCGACTGTCGGTTGCCAGCTGAAAGAAATGTTGGGAGTGGAAAGTAATGATGGGAGGAATGTACCCTACATGCAAATTTTCCTCTAGCCAGCAGGGGGCACTGCAGGCTCCTTCTGGATTGTGCTTTAGTGGCTTAACAACTGGGTGGGGGGGGGGCGGTTCTTTGCTTTCAGTTTTTAGGCAAAGTTCAGCAGTTCTGCCTGCCAAGCTCCTTACCTCAGTTCTGGGTCTACCAGTCACTACCACCTACCATGCTGTAAGGAAGGTTTCCCAGCAACAAAAGAGCACTCCAGCCCCAAATATGGAGAAACCACAGGCTCTGAGTGAGTGATTGTCCAGGCTGAGTCTGAGGGCAAGCTGCTGCAGGGAGACCGAGAAGTGTCAGGTCTGATCTTATCTGAACACAAAGACACTAAGGACGTGAGGCTTAGAGAGGGATGCGCTGAACGTGTACCAGCCTGATGCTGCTGTGGAGAAGGAAAAGCCAGTCAGAGATACCCTGGGGGTGATGAGCTGTCCCTGGGGTGTGGTACAAAGGACTCTGGGATGAACCAGCCCCCTGAGAGGTACCAGTGATGACTCCACCTTTGCATGAAACCAGGCAGCCCTGTCTTCTCCACATGATGAGCGATGGTCACCTCCTCCTTTGCTAAGCAGCCCTGGCACTCAGAGGAAGGGTGGAAGAGTGGATGCTTGGTCCCCTAAGAAGATGAAAAGGGAGGGGCAAGCAGACATGTATTTGTGCACTGATTGCCTGGCTCCCACAAAGATTTCAGCAATGGGGAAACCCAAAGCATCATCAGAGGGCCAGGAGAGGGCCTGGAAATGGACAGAAGGGCAACCAGAGACTCTAACCTCTGCCTTTCTAGGCATTTGACTCAGGATCTGAACAAGAACATGTTCTGGGCAGTGTGTCTCAGGGTAGCAGCTGCAGGAAGGAGCATGAAGAAGGCTCAGGAGCTCCTGGAAATGAGAACAAGCTTGGGCCAAACGAGAAACACGGGGTTGAGTGTGCATCTGTGTCTGCAGCATGTGGACACGGTTCCTGTCTGTGTCTGCAGCATGTGGACGCAGTTCCCGTCTGTGTCTGCAGCATGTAGACGCGGTTCCTGTCTGTACCTGCAGCATGTCTGCAGCATGCGGACACAGTTCCCATCTGTGCAGCATGCAGATGCAGTTCCCATCTGTGCAGCATACAGACGTAGTTCCAGTCTGGGTCTGCAGCATGCGGACGCAGTTCCTGTCTGTGCAGCATGCAGATGTGGTTCCCGTCTGTGCAGCATGCAGACGTGGTTCCCGTCTGTGTTACACGCGGACATTGTTCCTGGAAAGTGGTGATACACATGAGACAGACAGAGCTGCTTTATGGAGCCACTGGCATTACCGCACCCGGGAGGGCACAAAGCAAAGGTGTTTTTGCACAGGGTCATTTTCATCATTATAGCCAGGACCCTTCCTGCCAGCAGAGGAGGCCTGGGGTAGAACAAAGTCTGTAAGGGGCTTCCTCCCCTAGTGGGTCTCCACGACAGACCAGAGATGCTGTGCAACCTAAAAACAGCTGCCAGGGAATGAAAGGGGGGGGGTGAGAGAGGAAGCTCAGCCACGGGGCACTTTCTGCCTTCCTTAGATCATACAGTAGCCTTCTGCCGTGAGGCCATCGTCACCCTCTTGAAGGGTCCCTTCCTCAAGGCTCAGTCAGTGGTCACAAGAAACTTGTAGAGATGTGCAGAATGCAGGCTCACAGAGTGTCCTTAGGGTGCCCAGTCAGAAAGACTGGGCTGAAGACAGCATCAGATGTGCTGGGATGCAGGAGGCTTAGTAGCCAGGGCCTGGTCATGAATACGGCAAACCCTTCCAGGTTTCTCAGGAAACAGGAATAGTACCATCCCAGAAGCAAGGAGATAAGGTGCAGTAAAAAGCTGCGGATTTCACTGGAGACACCATGAATACAGACAGCCTTGGGCAGCGCAGAAAGGTCCAAATTCTATTACTGAAACCAAAATTGAGCATCTCAAGCCTGGACAAAAGCTTCTGGAGCTGGACTAAAAGGCCAGAAGTCCAGGAGGCAGGCTCCAGCTGCAGCCGCACAGTCCTCCTGATGGACTCGAGGGCTGAAGAGGAGCCTGGCAGCATGAAGCATTGTTTATTGTGTTACCAGGAGATTTAAAAACCAGCTGAGCATCAAAGCTCCAGGCCCAACCTCAGACGGCAGCACTGGGGCAGAAGAGCCAACTGCCCCCAGAATCCTGGACGTCTTTAGCTGGAAGCACCACATCCCTAGGCCTAGTAGAACTCTCCTCCTAAGGGGTGCTTGCCAGCCGAGTCCCAGGCCCCGTGGAACTGCCACTCAACAGAACAGTAGCTCTGTTTGTTATTATTCATGGAGATGGCTAAGATTGCTACAGAATGCCCTTCGGGGGACGGAGATGTAGCTGGGCATCGGGCTCAGCTAGCAGAGTGCTTGCCTACTGAATACAAAAGCCTGGGTTCAGCCCACAGCACTGCACAAGCTAGATATGACGGTGCACACCTCTAACTCCAACACTGGAGGGATGGAAGCAGAAGGAGTCAGAAAGTCAAGGTGCTTCTCAGCTGCATAGCCAGTCCAAGTCCAGCCTGGGCAGCATGAGACCCCATCGCGAAAAGAAAAAAGCAAACCCTCCCCTACATGATGGCCTGGCTACATTAGTGGGAATGCAGCAGAAGCTAGCAAGAAGTTCAAGTCCCTGACAGACTCGATGCTACTACACTTCTGTTCGATTGGCGTGCAGTAAAGCAATGATCAGAATATCAAAGCCCCTCCACAGCATGTGGTAAATAGCCCTGCCCCAAATGTGTCCCTGGGTGTCCTTTGGTAACCTCAGAAGCCCTGGCCCCTCCACTGGGAATCCTGTATCTTCCTGTGATCCAGTCTGCTGGAGGAGATACCAGCGCTGTGGCCATTTCTACCCTCTTGAGGTGTCCAGGACGCAGTGATTTGGGGACCTATGGTAACTTGCTCAAAGTCGCCGAGCTCGTAGGTGGCAGTGCTGGGACTATCTGATGCTGGGACCTAGGTATCCATCATTTTCCATACAGTGGCCAGAGAAGCTCCATTCTGGAAGAACTCACCCGAAGCTGACCTGTTGAAAAGCTGGGACACATTTGAGCAGGTGAATTCTGGTTCGAGCCGCCTTGCTGACAGTGATGGAAACTAAGGCAGTCCTTCCAAACCGCTTTTGAACAACTTCAAGCTATGTGAAACTCAGTTTGCAGATCATTGAGTTGAGCTAATAAGGGTTGAGGCCAAATTGGATCCATTTCCTGTTGTCATGAAGAAGCTTCTGTCGTTTTAAACTCCGCGTCCACTGGGCTTATAGATACACTACAGTATCAGAATTCGATGGAACCAACGGAAACCCCAAAGCCAAAAGAATACTTATTATCCGACCCTCTTACAGAAAAGTCTGCTGACCCTTGCATCAAGATAAACACCCTGGCCACTGGGACAACAAGGTTACATCCTCCTAAGCATTTAAGGACAGAAATCGACTCCCTAGCTAAAGGAGGCAGGGAGAGATGGGGACTTAATGACTATCTAACCCTTTCCTGACACTCAAGGGTTTAAAATTCCAAGTACTGTAAATCGCAAGTTGGTTGATGCATACATTTGATACAAGTCAGATGAATTCACCCTCTCAAGCTGACAGGTGAGGGACCAGGAACATGACCTTGGCTACAGGTGGCCTTGCTGGTTCCCCAACACCATCTCTACAGCTGTCATCTCAGCCCCTCATTGGCCCCCTGGGGTCTCTTGAGCCCTAATGAGTACTGGTGAGTGAATGGCTATGAAACGCGGGCTTTGAATAAAGGGGAGTGCCCAGTGTTGACTCCAGCAGCTCCCAATCTAGCGAGCCATCCTCACTAGGTCTCTGAAAACAAGTTCTCGAGGGTCCCCGGAAGGCTTTGGCTCAGAAGGATGCAGAGGGAGTGAGAAGCCAGATTCCACTAAAAGGTAGACGTTTTCTTCAAGTATGAGGTGCAAGCAACCAAGCCACCCTTACAATGGAAATTTCTGAATTCACTGCAAACATGTCAAGCTGTCTCACCTGCCACAACAGCTGGTGTCACCCATCATGGTAGTCCCCCTTACAAAGCCCAGACTTGGCCTCGGGTTCTTCATGCAGCTCTTCAGACAGCCTGTCCCAGATGGAGGTGGCATGAAAGATGGAACCTGGTTTACTACCTTACTGCCTTTGTGAACTGGACCATTGCTTTCCAGCAGGCAGGCATGGTCCTTAATATTCCTTCTCTGATGCTGTGGTACAGCTCCAAGGATGCCAGATTCTCACCTATCTCCAGCAGAATCGGAGGAGGAGGATGGAGGAGGAAGAGGAGGAGGAGGAGGAGGAGGAGGAGGAGGAGGAAGAGGAGGAGGAGGAGGAGGACAACGACGACAACCCTTGGCCCAGTGGCTGGTAGCTTCACTGCACAGGTGTCCTGTGTTCTGCCCTGAAGGCAAGGTGCAGAAACCTCTCTTGCCAGTAGGTGGCACTGCAGACAGGCATTCCATTGTGCCTGTGGGTTACGTTTCTCTCCTTCTATGCTACGGATTACTGTCCTGGACTCTAGGAGCCAAAAAGGACTTCAGGTGCTCTGACCATGTTTCTGGAACATCTCTATATGACGAGCCGGCAGCTCTCACCGAAAACCACTGTGATGGTGTGTCTGGAGAAACACCTGTGACCATGACCTGCAGTATAGACTGAGTATGTGTTTATAGGTGTGATGGACACACTTATCCTCTGCTGAGGACTGTGTGCGCATACTTGTATGTGTGTCTGTGTCTTGTGTATCATACACACCTGTAAGCTTGGAGTGTGTACAGATGGCTGTCTCTGTAATTTGAGGATCCTGGGCCCCACTGATTGATGACCAGCCTTACTCCTTGGTCCTGGCTGCCCCCCCATCATCTCACGGGCACTGCATGTGCCTCACTCAAGGGCCGTGGAGGCCAGGCCGCTCAGTCTTTCTCTTTAGTTTCCTGTGTTCTGTTGCCTCTGACTTCTCCACCTCCTTTCCCTGTGGCTCTGCAGCTTTGGGGAGGGAGTGACAGAACCAGATGCCACCTGACTCAGTCTCCCCATATCTCTTCCCTCCTCCAACAGAGCCAGGGCTAATATGGTCAGATTAGGAGCTACCCTACAGCCACTGTGAGGCAAGATGACTTCCTTCCTGGCCTTCTGTTCTTGCCAGCCCTGGTTTACCTTTGACCTTGACTGGGAAGTGTCTTCCTGAAGGGCCACACCACCACAAACTGACACTGATCAAAAGGTTGCCAAGGTCATTGCAAACATACTGTGTGAGTGGGGTCACAAACCCTATGTTTAAGGAGCCACTCAGGAAGCAGATAGAAGTAAAGGGCATTGGGCTAGGTCTTGAGGACAATGGCATCCAGGGTCCTGTACCTCTCTGCCATGTAGAAATTTGAGCTGGTAGGACCTGATGTTCCACTGTGTTTTGTTTTGTTCTGAGAAGTTAGAATCTGAACTTTCAAATATTGGCAACTATTTCAAGTTTAGAAAACACTGCACAGGCCAAAGGAAGCTTACCTTGTCTGCTAAATCTATCCCTCCAATCTCCAGTTTGCTCCTACTGGCCCTAGCCAGCTGAATGGGGCTGTCAGACTCAAGTAACTGAGAACGGAAGGACATTGCTCTCAGAACCACAGCTTGGGGTCTTTATGAGACCTTGGGGATGGTGTAGAACATCCCCTGTGTGTTTAAAGGCTTGGGTACAAGCTGGGCATGGAAGTGCATACCTGTTATCCCAGCACCGGAAGCTGAGGTTAGAGGATGCTAAATTCAAGGCCAGCCTGGCCTACCATCAAGACCCTATTAAAAAGCAAACAAGACAAAACAAGAACCTGAATGTCCTTCTGTACTGTGGCACATGCCTTTAATCCCAGCACTAGGGTACAGAGGTAGGTGGATCTCTGTGAGTCCAAGGCCAGTCTGGTCTACAGCGTGAGTTCCAGAACAGGCTCCAAAGCTACACAATGACATCCTGTTTCAAAACAAAAAACTGAACAAATGGGCACAAACCTCGTTCTTAAATCAACACACCTATAATCTTAACTTCCAATTTCCTGTCAATAGTGTTCAAGTATCCCCTACTGAGAGCAAGGTCAAGAACGAAACCCTCACTGTAGCAAACACTGCGCTGGCCCACCTAGCAGTAGCCCCCTGTTTACCTCTGTCTCTGCTACCCTGGGCTCCTTCACCTGGCCTCGCTGGCTTGCTGCTTGGCGTGAACCCTCAAGTGCCTCCTTGGAGAGCGGGAGCATGTGACCCCCTTACCTGGGACAGGAGTGGGCACGCACCGTTCTTAGCCCCTCCCCATTGCCCACTTTCAGCACATCAGTGGCTCCTGCTCTGTCCACTCATTTCCTGGTCAGATGATAAAGGTTCTACACGCTTATTGCTGTGAGTGCTTCCCCTCATGCTCGTCCTATGCCTTCATTCCACAAGGGCTCTGCGTCCTAAAAGCCATACAAATAAACAGCCATTCAAATGTATTTATATTGTCTTCTTTTCTGCCTTCCTCTAAAAAAAAAATGCTTGCAAATGAATCCAGAAGCTGGTATAAACCCTAAGAAATCTGGCTCTGTTGTTATTTTAAAACAAGCTAGGTGGTGGTGACACACGCCTTTAATCCCAGCACTCGGCAGACGGATCTCTGTGTGCTGGGGGCCAGCCTGGCCTACAGAGTAAGTTCTGGGATAGCCAGGGCTATACAGAGAAACTTTGCCTCAAAAAAAAAAAAGAAACAAAGAGAGAGAGGGGGGAGGAAGGAAGGACAAAAGGAAGAAGGAAAGAAGAAGGGAAGGGAAAGGGAAGGAAAAAGGGAAGAAAGAAAGGAAGGAAGGCACGAAGAAACGAAGGAAGAAAGGAAGAAACCAGTCTTGCAGTTGTTTGCCGAGTTTCTGCCACAGAAATGCTTCTAGGACCTGGAATTGGGGATACAAGTAGTTGTGAGCCGCATGTGGGTGCTGAGAATTGAACCTGGGTTGTTTGGAAGAGTGTGCTTAACTGCTGAGCCATCTCCCTGTCCCCTCTGTTTTCATCTGTCTTTTTCTTTCTATTCTTTTCCCCAAAGCCTGGTCTTAGGCTGGGCCACTGTGGCTTGTATCCTTGCAGAGGCAGATGGACCTTTGTGAGTCTGAGGCCAGTCTAGTCTGCATGGCATAGTCAGGGTCAGTCAGGGCTACACAGTGAGGCCCTGGGCATGTTTTTCTGATGTTCTGAGCTTCTTCACTCTTTTTTTTTTTTAAAAAAAATACTTATTTATTATGTATACAATATTCTGTCTACATGTATGCCTGCAGGTCAGAAGAGGGCACCAGATCTCATTACAGATGGTTGTGAACCACCATGTGATTGCTGGGAATTGAACTCAGGACCAATGGAAGAGCAGACAGTGCTCTTAAACACTGAGCCATCTCTCCAGCCCCGAGCTTCCTCACTCTTACTGAAGCCCCCACTGCCCTTCTACCATGAAGCTCTTACTAATGACATGGTTTTCAGTTTTCTCTCTTCCTCTTCTACCTTCTCCTGGCAGCTGCCTGGATTTGCAGCTTTTCTTTCCCTGCTGTTTTAATCTTAGATCCCTAGTAAAATTGTCCTCAAGCTTCAGAGAGAGAGAGGGAGAGAGGGAGTGAGAGAAGGTCTTGCCATTTAGCTCAGAAAAGCCTCAAACTCAAAATCCTCCTGCGTCAAATCTCCTAAGTTCTGGAATTTCAGAAATGTGTCCCCAAACCTGCCTGGCTCGAAATCCGGTGATGCTCAGGTCTCTCCGTAGGCCTCTCTTTCATGAGGGGGAGATGCTGAGGCGGATGGAAGATTGAGGCCCTGAAAGGAGGCTTTTCCACATCCACTGACCGGATCTGGAACACCTAGGAGGCAAGCCGCTAGACAGCTGTGAGGGATCAGCTAGTCTCTGGGCAGACTTGTGAGGGATTCGTTATTACGCTGAGGTGGGAAGATCCTCACTAAACGTGGGCAGCACCATTCCCTGGGCTTGGGTTCCAGACTGTATAAGAAGAAAGGAAGCTGGACACGAGCACCCATCACTGCTTTCTGTGGATTTGATGTGGCCAGCTGCTTAAAGTCCTGCGGCCTTGGCTTTCTTACTAAGATGGACTGTACCCTTGAACTGTAACCTTGAGCTAAGGTAAGACCTTTCCCCTTAAGTGGCTTTGGTCAGGTGTTTGTCACGTCACAGGAGAAGAAACAAACACCCCAGCGGAGCTGCAGCTGTGGACTCTGTTTCCTCTAGAACTATCAGCATGAGGGAGAAGTGGGAGAGAAAGGATATGAGATTGGGAAGGTCACCTGACATTCATCCCAACCACACAGTCCTTCCTCTGTACCCCAACATCTCCCTGCATCTCAACAGGGTGGCAGAACAGCTGCGGTCAACTGTCAGGTGGGGCTAGAGTTATCTGAAGCTCCACTAGGACTTTGGGGGGGGGGGGTCCTGCTTCCAAGGGAAGGCGGCTGTGGCAAGTAGTCTGCAGCTGGTCAGTTTGCCTGAATGTCCTCAAGAGACAGCGGTTGTGAAAGGAGAAAGAAGAAAGAAGACATTGGTCGTTGATGACCCAGCCTCAGGAGCAACACTTCAGGAGCCATTGTCTATGGGCCACACCCTGATTCAGGGTGAGACAGTCTTACCCAAGGGTGGGACTACCAGGAGGGAAGCAATCTGGGCCATTCGGGGGTTGGCTACCACAGCTCATACCTCCTAAGGCCTGGTATAGCCAGAAGCCCCCAAGGTTGTACTAGCACTTCCTGTGACTTCTAAGACTAGAAGGAAAGATGCCTCCTTGATTCTCCAACCTTAAGTCTTCTTTCTCTCATTCCCACATCCTGGTCACCAGGGGAGGGGAGGTGCGTGGTCTTTCACTTCCTCCCTCCAAGCTCCCGCCCAGCAGGTTCCTGAGTTCAGGAGCCCTAGAGCCTCCATCTTGGGGGATGTCACAGCAGTTGTGTTTGCAGATGTCTTGATGGCACCAAGACATTTTTATAATGTCTATTGACAGGTGATCCTGGAGCTACTCACAGTGGTTAGCAGCGGGGGGTCACATCCAAGGCAGGGGAAGCGGCTGCCGTGACTGAATCCTCTACTTTCTGACATGCTCCCAAAACTGGATTTGAGGACAAAAACACCATGACACGAATGTGCCTTGGCGCTGAAACACAGGAACAACAGAATAGAAGGCGCCTGGGCACCATTCCTTCTTTCTGTGCGCCCTTTCCTTCCTACTTGCTGAGCTCAAGGATGGCCCAAGAGTTACATATTTTTCTCC